ACAACGGTCCCAGTTTTAGAGACAGATGGTGAGGCAAGTGTATTGGAGACACGGTCACCCTCACCAGAAATCCCGCCTCTGGAGGTCTGTGCCCCATAATCACCCAAGCCATAAGGTCAGAGGCATCTCTCTCCACGGCTGAAGGCACAGCACCCTCCCTGCTCCCAGTAGCACTTGCTCAGACCCACTGATGTCCTCAGGATTGTAAAGGAAGACTGAACTAGAGGATCTAATCAGCCAGATGGACCCGGAGCCCTAGATGCCTCCAGGTTATATACAGTTTTCCAAGCCAGGAACCCTTCCTCCACGCACCCAGGATTTCAGCCTAGTGCATGGATAGAGCGCCCTCTAGTGGTATGATTGAGTTTCTGCAACACCAAAAGCTCTTTATTGGGGATTATTTGAAATACATGATGAGGAGACAGAACTCATCATATGAGTGACCTGAGTCACCAGTGACCTGAGTCTCATAAAACCCTTTATTGCCTCTTTTGTGGTGTTTTTGGGAGTTCTGTTTAGAAATGTTTCCTCTTATCTTTTGAGATTGTGCTTTTTTCTTACGGATTTGGATTAGCTCTGGAGATGCAATAGATATTAACATTTGTCAGTCACACTAACTTAGTGTGACTAGAGGGAGACCTTTTGGGCAACATGTTATTATTTATCTCTAACTCAATACTGCTGTTTTCATGACACAGATGTTTTTAGTTGGTGTCTAATTCAATGTTACCTCTGTGATTGCTTTTACTATTGCAAAGCTGAAAAACTAACTTTCTCTAACAGATCAGAAAACTTGACATTTTTTTCTTTGTTCTGGTTGTTTTCTATTTAACACTGGATATGTGTGTGTGTGTGTGTGTGTGTGTGTGTGTGATATTAAATGTGAATATGATATTTTTAAATTGCAATTAAGTTAGCCGAACCCCACTTGTTGCACAATCTTTTCTTTCCCCCTAATTTGGAATAAATCTTCTCTAAAGTTCGTGGGAACTCCAGTCTGTGCCACTAATTTATATTTATTTCTTATCCTGAATATTGCATCATTTTAATTATCATGCTTTAGAACATATTCAGTATATGATATGACCACATCTTTGCTAGAAAGCTGATTAAAATTTAAATCCCACAGAAAACTGAAACCAATATGGGAAAATGTGGCATATAAGAAAGCATGAGTAAGAATTTTAATTATGGTTTGGACAAATTAAAGAACTCCGATCATATCTAGCATTTCCTAAGGAAAATTTACGTATATTCTTATCCATTTCATTATTTTAAATAGCATTTTTATTATCGAAGTAATAAATACGTTGAGGTGATTTTTAAATTAAATTTGAAGGTCAAAGGAAGTACAAGAGCTTCACACTCATTTCTTAGATTAATTCATTTATTTCAACAACTCTTTGAGGAGAATCCACTGCACGCTGAGTCCTAAGCCAGGCACTGGGATCTAGCTGCGCCCAAGACAAAAATGGCCCCCACTCTCTAGGAGCCCAGTAGGGAAGGTGGAAATCAAACATGACACTCCATGGAAACACTGAGTTCAACATGCTCTGAGAAGGTGCACCGGGGTCCTCAGCAATTTCAGTGAAGTCAGGAAGCACTTCCCGCAGGACACGTTATGTAAGCTAGTGGTCGGTCAGGGGGTGAATTTTCCAGTCAAGGGGGCAAGAAAAGAGCAGGGCGTAGCTGAAGATTAGAAAACCGCTCCTAGGCCCTTATAGATTCACATGTACCATATTACCCAGCCTTAGGTCAGGTGTGTGCGCAGGGATTGGTTGCTGCCCATTTCCTGCCTCCTGAAATACATACCAAGGATTATAGGATCCCTCACTCAGGTTGCAGATTTGGCCAAAACGCATTTGCAGAGAACAGTTTGCATAAGTCCTTATAAAACCCAAGGTTCTCAGCTGGTAGCATCCATCACTGGGCAGTGTAGCCAGCAGGGGTTGGGTGGGGGTTGGTTTGGTTTCTCCAGCTCTGGATTCCTCAGTAGAGCTGTTTTTGTCCCCTTGGGTTATCATGGCGAATAGTGTGACCAGTGGGGTACGGGACATGAACCACTAACCTGACCCAAAGCCACATGCCCAGGAAGCTGGAAAGGTACTGGGTGGAGAGGATGGTCTCTATGGCAATGGAAGAGGAAGGTTGCTCTCCGAGGCACTGCTGGGCTCCAGGGGCCAAGGGCCAAGGAGGGCTGGGGCATACAGCAACCCTGCCCAGATGCCAGTGTTCTCTGTCGGGCACTCATGGAAGGCAGGCCCCAGACTGTGTCCTCTTAGTCCCTAGGTGAGCAAGGCTGCAGCTCCCCGGACGCAGGTCTTCCAGAAACCAGGTCTTTAAGGAAGCTGCTAAAACCACTGACCTGCCTGCCAGGACTCGCGGGCATGGGGAAGGAAACGGGCATAGTGGTAACAGCTCCGGTGCCAGGCCCCGGGCTGAGTGCTGTGAGCACGTGATCTCCCTGAACACTCACAGTAACCCACGTGGGGATCCCCATGTTATAGGTTTGGACACTGAGGCACAGAGAGGTTTGGAAATTTGTCCAAGGCTGCAAAGCTATGAGAGGCAGTGCCAGGATGCACCCGGGCTTCCCTCTCTGCGATGCCCATTGTTTGATCCCATCTGGCCTGCCAGGGCCCAAGGGGTCCAGTTCCATGGCTCCTAACCAGGCTGGAGTCCATGCTTTCCGGGGACAGGTGAGGGCAGCCAGAAGCAGCTGGTCCTAACAGAGGGACACAGGGACTCCCAAACAGCTGAGGTGGCCCAGCTGCCAGCTGGACTGAGCAGACGAGCTGGTCCCCAGCCGAGGATTCCCCACGGTTAGCAGCCTGGGGGGGGAGGGGGGTGGCGTCAGGCAGAGCTGCCTTCCAACCTTGGCCCGCTGTTGTCGCTAAGTTCATGAACCTCTATAGACGCTTTGCTTTCTTCTCTACAAAGCAATGTAATCATTCTAACCCCGCAGGATTGTCCTGGGGGTAGGGAAATAAAATACCGCAGGTCTGCCACGCAGGGTGTGCCGACTGACTCTAATCCTCCACCAGGCCCCTCGGTGGGCCGCCTGCCTGATCTCTACAGCCCTGGCCACTCCTAAGACTGCTTAGCAGCACAGGGACAGGTTGAAGAGCTGCCTCTTGTAGTGGGGGGTTGTCAGCCAGAGGCCGCTGGCTCTGCAACCGGTCCGGCTGGCCGACTGGAGAACACTCCTGTGAGTGGGGGCCGGGGCGGGGCCATGGAGGCAGCGGGATCTGGTGTAGATTTCAGTACAGTGAGGAAGGGGCAGGGTGGAGGATTCAGAACTGGATGATGAAAAGGATACCGACCTTGTATGGACTTGGGTTGCGGTCTCCATTCTACCAATTCATTTGGTGACTTTGGACAAATTTCATAACCCATCTGAGCTTAGGTTTCCACATCCATAATTGGAGTCGGGTATCCCGTTCTGAGGATTCGATGAGAATGTATAAGAAAGGGCTTAGGGCATTGTTAGCCAGTTTTTATTTGTAAAGTTCATCTCACATCCAACACAGCTGGGCTCACATGTAGCACAAAGTATTTATTCATTCATTTATTCAGAAACATTTACAGAGCATCTACTCCGTGCGAGGCACTGTTACAGGAACTGGAATTAAAGCCATGAACCAGGCGGACAAAAGCCATCCTTTCCTAGTCAATAAACAGCTAAACGCCCTGACCGGTTTGGCTCAGTGGATAGAGCGTCGACCTGCGGACTCAAGGGTCCCGGGTTCGATTCCGGTCAAGGGCATGTACCTCGGTTGCGGGCACATCCCCAGTGGGGGATATGCAGGAGGCAGCTGATCGATGTTTCTAACTCTCTATCCCTCTCCCTTCCTCTCTGTAAAAAATCAATAAAATATATTTTAAAAAAATAAAAAAAATAAACACCTAAACAAATAAATAAAGTAATAGTAAGTGCTGTGTACACATTAAAAGTGGATGAGACCTAGCCGGTTTGGCTCAGTGGATAGAGCATCGGGCCTGCGGACTGAAGGGTCCCAGGTTCGACTCTGGTCAAGGGCACGGGCTCTGGCCGGGGCTCATGCAGGAAGCAACCAATCGATTTATTTCTCTCACATTGATAGTTCTCTCTGTCTTTCCCTCTCTCTAAAAATCAATGGAAAAATATCCTTGAGTGAGGATTAAAAAAAAAAAAAGTAGATAAGATGGCAGCATATGGTTCTCTCTACATGTGCCAAGGGATAAACTCAGGAGAGAGAATGGTGTAAACCACTCATGGCCAAAGGCACGGGGAGACCAAGAATCCACCTTCCCATGCCTTCATCCTTTACACCAGGCATGTCAAACTCAAAGGCTAACACGGGCCAGATAAACAAGGTTTAAGTTTATGTGGGCTGCAAAAAAACAAAAGCTTCCATTTTCATAGAAATAAATGTAGTTTTATTTCGATAGAGACATGCTGAATACAAAGGGCTAAAATAAATGAGTCATCATTAACATAAAATAATAAAACATTTTTTAAAAAATTAATATTTTCTCTTGAACATTAACTTACCAGACACTGAATAACTGCATAAATTAATAAGTGTAATGCAAATAAACCTATTTTCCTTGTTCTCCGAAAGCGAAATATTTCCTGTTGCGCACACCAAACAAGTCAGTCCAAGACTAACGATGTGGCAATCGGCTGCTAAAATATTCGCTGCTAGTATTAGTGGAGAGAAATGGTGCACCCGCGCCTAATGCGCGTAAGGGAAATGAATGCAACACGATTCTAGTAATCAGTCATTAGCGAATGTTAAGGTTCATTATTAATAATTATGCATAACAGGATATTGTAAAAATTAAGTTACAAAATTATTACTAAAACGTTTCTTACATACCATTATACTGGCTGGGCCGCAAAATTATTCGTTGTGGGCCGCGGGTTTGACATGCTTGCTTTACATGGTCTGGCCAGATGTCCCTCAGATTGTGCACCCCTGGACCCCCTCGTGTAATGGTCTCTGTTTGGTTTCCAGGAGAGCAGCACCCTCTGCTGAATTTTCCGTGGACAGGACGCGCCACTTAATGTCCTTCCTGACCATGATGGGCCCCAGCCCTGACTGGAACGTGGGCCTGTCTGCCGAGGACCTGTGCACCAAGGAGTGCGGCTGGGTGCAGAAGCTGGTGCAGGACCTGATTCCTTGGGACGCGGGCACTGACAGCGGGGTGACCTACGAGGTAGGCGTGTGCCTGGGGTGGTGAGTGACAAACCTTGCCCGCCTCCATCCCGACGTCCTGGACCCAGACGTGAATCTGGCCCGGGCCGTGTCCCAGACGAACTCACAGTGTGGCAGGGGAGGCCAGCGTGGTCTCCTCACCACGTCCTCACACACAGTCTGATTTGGGCTCTGGACAGTGTCCGTGCGGCCGGTCAGGAGGGCACAGAGAGGGGATTTGCTAAAGAGCCGCTCATGGGTGAGCAAGGGAAGAGCAGGCGAAGGGCACTGCATGGAGGAAGCGGGGAGGGAAGAGAGAGGGAGGAAAGTGGGGACTGGACCATATGCCGAAGGTTTCTGGATAGACAGGCTAAGGAGTTTGGAATCTCTCCTGAATGCCAATATTTCTCAGATATGGTCAATACACCAACATCAAAATGGAGCCATCAGAAAACCAGTGGTAGAACAATCAAGAACAGGTGATGGTGACTATGGTTTACGGGATAAATCAGCCTACCACCTCATTTGGAAATAAAATTTTTGAACCCGGCCTCACATATTCGGTTACATGTTGTCTGGGGCTGTTTTCTCACTATAACAGCTGAGTTCAGTCCTTGCGACAGACACGGTTTGGCCCACAGAGCCTAAAATATCTACCATCTGACCCTCTGCAGACAAAGGTTTGCCAACGCCTGGGCTGGTAGGAAGAGCTCTGGATTCAGGCCAGCCCGGCTCAGCCATTTCCGAGCTGTGGGGACCTCTCTGAAATTTGGCTTCTTCATCTGTGCATAATCCCACCGTGTACGTGGGAGCATCTGAAAGTACAGACCTACAAATTTCCACGCACGACACATGGCGTGAATAGAATTCCATAACATAAATAGTAGTTAAACTTGTTAAATTCCTATCAAGGTTTTTGTTCTGACCATATTACAATCAAATTGCTTTGCGAGCAAACACACACACAAAATTGCTTTTGTGGTTCTTAACCAATTCTATTTCCCTCTCTCTGTATCTGGTTTTGTTGTTGTTGTTGTTTTCCCCATTGCAGTCACCCAACAGGCCCACAATTCCCCAGGAGAAAATCCGGCCCCTGACCAGTCTGGACCATCCTCAGAGTCCTTTTTACGACCCAGAGGGCGGGTCCATCACTCAAGTAGCCAGAGTTGTCATCGAGAGAATCGCCCGGAAGGTACTGGGTTAGAGCTCACCCTGGCATAGACCTTTCCCACCAAGGGTTCGAGGAGACAGTCCCCCTTTCTGCTTTAGAATCATGGGGTCCCAGGCATATTCCGGGATGTAGGATTCCTGGGCCTCCCAAAGTATCTAGTATGCAAATTATTCAGGTTTCCTGATGAGTCCCACAATCAATTACTAATATCTGCCCCGGGTCAGGAATTGGAAGCTGTGACTTTATTGCCATTTTTTTTTTCAGTCAGACTGTAAATGTCGACCCAGAACTCCGCCTTGTATACACAGGGTGGGCATTATATTTTACATCCTCCCTCATCTTCCCCCTACCCGTTCCATTCTTCAATGTGAGCCCTCTGAGTAAAGCTCTCTTGCAGGGGGAACAATGCAACATCGTACCGGACAACGTGGATGATATAGTAGCAGACCTGGCTCCGGAAGAGAAAGATGAAGGTGCGTTGTTTCCCTTTGTTGCCAGTGGCAACCTAAATTGGCCCCATCTTCTGGGAAAGCAATTTGCTAACATGTTTTAAAAGCCACAAATACTTGTGTCCTTTGACCTTGGTCATCTCATCTTTGAGAATTTCTGCTTGAGAGCTATGATCCAAAGCAAGGCCAAGACTAGGCACAAAGATTCAGGGAACTGGTGAAGGTGTGATACTAGAATATGCACTCAACAGCATCGGGCCTTTAAAATGATCGTGTCAATGGCATTTGCATAGGCTTCACAGTACTCAGGTCGCTCCCTGCTTTGGTTCTCGTACTGGCCTGTGAGGCAGACGTGGGTGAGTCCACTCCCCCAGCAAGAAGAGTGAGGCCCAGCTCCCACAGTCAGGAGGGAGTGGCAGGGCCGTGGCCGCGGCTCAGGTTTTCTCATGGGATCTCCCTCACCTTTCTGCCACGGTTTCCTCACCTGGAAAATGGGGATCATAACAGAACCTGCCTCAGAGAGAGTTGTTACGTCTCCAATGGGATAAAACATGTTTGGTTCTTAGAATGACGTTGGCTCATAATAAGTGCTCAGTGAACATCGGCTGCTCTTATTCTTATCATGACACCCATGTGTGTATCGTGATCATGGGAAGATGAAGCAGCAACACAAAAAAAACCTGTGCTTGCCCACATTGCCTGTGATGTGCCCACAATGTCTGCCACGGTGAGGGAAATGAAAAGACGTTCATTTGTTGAGGGGAAGGGATAGCAGGAGAATCTTTACTTGTTATTAGGTTATGTAGCTACCCGCGGAATGCTAAAATAAAGGTTTTAAAGGGAAGGGACGGGCTTGCTCCCATCCCAGGAGTACCAGGCTCACGGAGGCCGGCCAGGCAGCAGGGATTTTCTTGTCTCCCAATGAGCTTGTCTGGGGAGAGGGCCAGTCTCAGCAGCCACAGGCTCCCAGGGAAAACCTGTCACCTACTCTTCCCAGATGACACCCCAGAAACCTGCATCTACTCCAACTGGTCCCCGTGGTCCGCCTGCAGCTCCTCCACCTGCGACAAAGGCAAGAGGATGCGGCAGCGCATGCTGAAGGCACAGCTGGACCTCAGTGTCCCCTGCCCCGACACCCAGGACTTCCAGCCCTGCATGGGCCCTGGCTGCAGCGACGAAGGTGAGGAGGCAACCCAGGCCAGCAGGTGGCGGGCAGAAGCTCAGGAGGGAAGGGTTCTGCCTGGTGATGCCGGCCCCTCATACCTACTCAGGCCGGGTCCATAGTGGGGCACCAGGACCCTGACTGCAGTTGTCAGTGGGGTCCACCTAGGTCAGTCCCCCATCTCTAACAGTGGCTCCAGGCCTCTGAACACAGAGCACATTTTATGACATCAAATGAATTATTGAGATTGACTGACCACCTGCCTCCTTCCCCAGCCACCAGAAGAAAATATACACACGTTACTGAAGAGCTAGCAAACATCTCATGACAAATTACAGATAACAAGCAGCCTGCTCTGGGCCTTAACTCCAGCCTATTTTAAAGAAGCAGATGAACAGGTTGGGCAAGATTGCAGCTAGATCCCTGGCCCTGATTCTGGGTCAGGACCCTCTGGCTCTCTGTCTGTCCTGCCTGAGCCTGAGGCAGAACACTGGCTTCCTTGTGTCAGGGCCTGGGGGATGATTGCAAGAATCCTCAGTCTCTCTCTCTCTCTCTCTCTCTCTCTCTCTCTGTGTGTGTGTGTGTGTGTGTGTGTGTGTGTGTGTGTGTGTGTCTGCAACTGTTCAAAGGTCAGGCTAGAACTATGAGCTTGCGCCCCTATGTCAGGATGGCTCAGGCTTCCAGATGGCGCTAAGCTGATTGCTGTGCAAAGGTCAGCTGCCTCCTTTCCAGAATACGATTCCTCTCTCTGTCTGGGCAGATCTCTACTCGGTGCTCTGTGATCTTAACCATCTCAGAGAGGCAGTGAGGCAATGGGAAGGGATAAGACTGAGCTGGTTTATGGCCGGAAGAAAACTGCTTCCAAGCTGAGGATGGTTGAAGAGAGCTTCCCGCACTGCACGTCATCCACTAGCTGGCTCTTCCTGGGGGGCAGCCTAAGCACCTCTCCTGGCCGCACTTCCACGGTGGTTTCTTGTTAACCGTGCCCATGATAAGACTCCTCAGAAGGGAGAGAATTTTAGGATATGCTTTTCTATTTCTGCAGGTCAGCCTGCTCTTTGTACCTGGGGTCCATGTTCCCCAGAGGCTACTCGACCCAAAGTCAAATAAGGTTCTCTTGTGCCCACAGCAGGCTCCCCTCTGCACTGGTTATTTGGGGAGCATTTAGAACAGGAAAGAAGCAAGGACCCCTTTGGACATTTGGAACTCATTATATGACCTCATGAGTGTATGTTGTATTGTGCAACCACAATAAAATAGCCGTCGTTAGAGTTTCTTCCTGATTATCTGAGCCAGCCCTTTATCCCAGGCCGTATCGTCTCTGCCCACTTCCAGGCACCACTAGAAGGGTCCTTTGCCAACGAAGATCTGGTCATGTCACTCCTTCGCTGAATACTCTGTGGCTCCTCACTGCCCAGTGTGCAAACTCCTCCGCTTAATTTACTGGCAAAATAGTTCTGCGGAGAACCAAGGTGGAGGCCTGGTGAAAATGAGCGCTCGGACACTCACCCCACGCGGTGAACACTGTACTGAAAACACGTTGTTAGTTAAGACACCTGAGGATGTCTGGGGGACGCCTCTCGACTCCAACCTCTTCCTCTCATAAGACACTGGGGTTGGTGGTGAGGGTATTCTTCCTGCTCAGGGTAACGTCTTGCCAGGTTATGGGCAGCCTGAATTGGGACTTGCCAAACCCTGAACCTCCACCCATATCACACCGGAACATCATTATCTTATTTGGATGTACGTGCACCTTTAGTTAGCTTTGTCCCTGGGTCTAACGTGGGTACCAGCTATGATTTCTTGCTGTGCCACCAGTATGGTGTAGCTACACTGTCCGAAGATTAAATGACAATGTGTGGGCACCACACATGTGCAGGTGGCAGCCTGTGGCCATGTGCAGGCTGGCCTCACACTCTGACTTCAGTCTTCCTTTCCAGCTTCATCTCCCAATACCACACACATATACACTCTCTGCAGGGTGTTTGCATAAGCTGTTTCCTGTACCTGAAATGCAAATATCCATTTCCCATCCAAGTTCACTCAGATGTGCCTCTTGTGTGAAATCTTCCCCAGAACTCCCAGAAGGGGTGACTTTCCCCCCTCTCCTATGCTCCCCAATTCCCTGGGCTTACCTCTGTCATCATATTTTCAATGCCACACATATACACTCTCTGCAGGGTGTTTGCATAAGCTGTTTCCTGTACCTGAAATGCAAATATCCATTTCCCATCCAAGTTCACTCAGATGTGCCTCTTGTGTGAAATCTTCCCCAGAACTCCCAGAAGGGGTGACTTTCCCCCCTCTCCTATGCTCCCCAATTCCCTGGGCTTACCTCTGTCATCATATTTTCAATGCCTGGAATTATTGTCAGTCTCTCCCCCCCCCCCCTTTTTTTTCTTTTTCGAGTCTTCCCCCCCCCCCCCCCCCCCCCCCCCCCCTTTTTCCCCCCCCCCCCCCCCCCCCCCCCCCCCCCCCCCCCCCCCCCCCCCCCTTTTCTCTTTCTCTTTCTCTCTCTGGAGTAGAACAAGATCCATATCTTACACCTCTTTTTAACCTCAGAGTGTTTGCCTAAGCATTCATTGTCTTCAGTGACATGAATAAATGGATAGATGGTAGAGGGATGACTTCATTTTCCTCTTTTTTAAACAAGCGCGCGCGCGCGCACACACACACACCTGTGTTTCCAACTGGAGCAGCACACCACGACCACCACCACCTTGGAAACAGGACCACAAGCCAAGCTGGGAGGTTGGCTATCTTCTTTACCAACATCCTGAGTGTTTCCTACGAGATCATGGTCTTTGCTAACACCCACTCTTGGGAGCAAAGCCGTAGGTAGTCCAGGATATCAACATTGCCTTCCTCATTCTTCCTCTATGCCCCCCTCTCCTGACACACACAGACATTCTCTCTCAATTCCCCACCCAACCATTTGCTCCCTATTAGTAGCTGAGGTCTTCTCTTCTTTGTCATCAACCTCAACTGAGGCATTGAGGTGCCTGCGGCCACTTAATATAATCTGCTCTTTGGGTACAAATCAGCCCTCAGGTCCTATGTCTCAAGGCCAGTCATGCTCTCTCCTTTGGGAACAAAATTCTCTCATCTGTATTTCTAGACTGGGAACTGACAGCTTACACAGTACCTCAGAATATGTATATACTAGAGGCTCAGTGCATGAAATATGTGCATGAGGGAAAGGGGGGTTGTCCCTCAGCCCGGCCTGCACCCTCTCCAATCTGGGACCCCTCGGGGGATGTCCGACTGCCAATTTAGGCCCGATGTGGGATCGAGCCTAAATCAGCAGTTAGACATCCTCTCACAATCTGGGACCGCTGGCTCCTAACCACCTCTGCCTGCCATCCTGATGCCCCCTAACTGCCCTCTCCTGTCAGCCTGATTGCCCCTAACCACCTCTGCCTTGTCCCTGCCACCATGGCTTTTGTCCGGAAGGACATCCAGAAGATGTCTGATCTAATTAGCATATTATCCTTTTATCAATATAGATAGTCATCCTTCTATCATCCAAGTGTCTTTCATATGCATTATCGTGGAGTAAGGAGTAATCCTCACTGAGTGCCCCATGTACCTGGAAAAGAGTATTTCATTTACTCTTAGAGACATTTCTGGTTTTAAAATGTAGACCTTTTATGTTCCCTTACAACATCCTCAACTGGCTAACTTCCCTTTGAAAGCCAGCTGGTTCCTTTTGATTCCTGCCCTTATGGAGTTGGGTCCCTCGAGTCGTGTCTGGCGCGCCCCATGGCGCCCGGCGCTGGGGCTGCAGCGTCCGCTCCGTGTGTTGCAGATGGGTCCACCTGCACCATGTCCGAGTGGATCACCTGGTCGCCCTGCAGCATCTCCTGCGGCATGGGCATGCGGTCCCGGGAGAGGTACGTGAAGCAGTTCCCGGAGGATGGTTCTGTGTGCACGCTGCCCACGGAGGAGACCGAGAAGTGCACGGTCAACGAGGAGTGCTGTGAGTGCGGGGACGCTGGGTGGGCGGGGCGGGGCGGGGAGGGGGCCCGGCTCTGAGGCAACCGATGACTCTGAGGCCACTGGACTCCCCAGCTTCCAGCAGCTGCCTGATGACCGAGTGGGGCGAGTGGGACGAGTGCAGCGCCACCTGCGGGATGGGCATGAAGAAGCGGCACCGCATGGTCAAGATGAGCCCAGCGGACGGCTCCATGTGCAAGGCCGAGACCTCTCAGACAGAGAAGTGCATGATGCCGGAGTGCCGTGAGTGGGCGTGGGAGGTGGGGCAGGGGAGGGAGACAGGGACAGGATGGGGGACCACAGCACCCCCTACTACCACCTCCATCAAGGTCGGAGGTGGGGTAGGTTCCGTTCCACCGTCCTTGCAGGGCCCTGCTAGGATCAAGATGAAGGCCATAGCTGTGTGGACATCAACCAGACCCAGAGAGAGTGGCCTCCTTTGAGGGACTCTCTGAGCAGTGCTGGGTGGCAAATTGGTGACTTTTGGTTAGAATTCACCTGCAGCATGTTTATAGGGGCCCGGAGTATCTTTGTGAGGGTAACGATACGTTCAGGTGGCATGTGCATTCCCCAGGTCATCCGAGGCCTCCCCACTCCTGTACATTGGCTTTGCCTGGCCCCATAAAACACTACACCCCTGCTCTGTGCACAGATGCACATAGGCTCACACATCAGTACACATATGTACACATGCACAGAGTACATACAGATTCTAGGGGTTTCAGCACATGTCCAAAGATGCAACATTGAGCCTAACTTTTAGTGTATGGTTCCTGGCGTGTGTGGGATGTTTTTGTCTCTAATAAGATCCTACTCAGACCCTCAGTGGTGTTTCAAGTGGGGACTTGTATATTCATATTACTTGTGTGTTCAGTATCATGTGATGTCAGGTCAGCCTCCAGCAGGGCCAGAGGACTTGCAGGAGAGTGACAAGAACAGCAGGAATCTGCTGAGCCACTTCTTGCCCCTGGGGTTCACTTGAGTGTCTGAATCTATCAGTCAGTTTCACCTTATTCGATGGACAAGAGTGGGGACAGGGAGTGGGGGGCACAGGGATCAAAGAAAGCAAAGGGGGCTTCTTCTCAGTGGCAAACCTGGCTCTCCACCTAGACACCATCCCATGCTTGCTGTCCCCATGGTCCGAGTGGAGCGACTGCAGCGTGACCTGTGGGAAGGGCATGCGGACCCGCCAGCGGATGCTCAAGTCTCTGGCTGAGCTCGGGGACTGTAATGAGGAGCTGGAGCAGGTGGAGAAGTGCATGCTGCCCGAATGCCGTAAGTCCTGGCGCTCCCGCACGCCCGCCGTTAACCAGCCCTGTGCCGGATCACAGTGCTAGGTCGAAATGTCCAACCAGCCCTGTGCAGGAGCACAGTGCTAGGTCAAAATGTCCAACTGTTTGCTGGGGAGGGAAAAAGAGCTTGGATTTGGACCTGTGCGTTAGCAAAGTGGTTTTTGTTGTTAATCCTAAACCTGAGGATATTTTTCTATTGATTTTTAGAGAGTGGACAGGAGAGGGAGAAAGAGAGAAACATTGATGTGAGAGAAACACATCGATTAGTTGCCTCCTGCACATGCCCCAACTAGGCTGGGAATCAAGCCTGCAACCCAAGTATGTGCCCTTGACCAGAATTGAACCCTGGGCCCTTCAGTTCGCAGGCCGACACTCTATCCACTGAGCCGAACTGGACAGGGCTCTGTGTTAGCAAAGTAATTTAAATAAGCGTCTATAGACGCAAGGATGGTTTCCATTTTGGACACGTGGCAGTTAACTGGTTAAACTCTCAGTCAGTCTCCTCATTAGTAATGAGGATCCCACATCCATCTACAAAGCACACAAACCACAAGTTGTTGTGCAGTCTAAACAGGAGATTTAGATGAAAAACGCTTTGCACAAGGCTCCGTAAGCCTTACTTCTTAGTTCTTTCCCTCCTCACCTTCATCCCCAATTAGCAGCTGTCTAACCAATGGATATTCCAAGCTTTTTTACTTTATTCCTCTTCCCTCTGACCATTTTATTTGTCCATGACCAAAGGGTGGACACTGAGTCAGTGACTCCTGTACCCTTGCAGCCTTGATAAGAAAAACAAGCCAAGCTCTCAAAAGCTCTGTGCCCACCCCATCTCCTCCCAAATCTGCGATCAGCTGTGTGCATTACACGGGGACTAATCCTGAGGGGAGAGAGCCTGCTTTTCTGGCTACTTTTCCAGGAGAGCTTCTCTTTTAGGTGTTGGAAAGTCAGACACACTTGGCTGTGATCTGCTTTTTGGCTTCCTCTGAAATGCACTTGCAGTCGTCTTTCATGCTCCCTCTCCCTTATGACTCAGGCTGCTTGCCCAGATTCAGATCTATGCCAGAAGCTCACAGAGCAAGGCAAGAGGCTCTGTACAC